TTTATCTAACTTCTCTTTAAACTCTGTTATAGTTCTAGCCCTCACTGCTTCCTGTAGCAAGGAGTTCCACAGGTTGACTATTTGCTTTGTGAAGAAGAACTTTCTGTTATTAGTTTGAAGCCTGCAACCCATGCATTTCATTTGGTGTCCTCTAGTCCTTCTATTATGGGAACTAATGAAGAACTTTTCTTTATGCACCCTCTCCGCACCACTCATGCTTTTATCGACCTCTATCATATCCCCCCTCAGTCTCCTCTTTTCTAAGCTGAAAAGTCCCAGTCTCTTTAGCCTCTCTTCATATGGGACCTGTTCCAAACCCCTGATCATTTTAGTTGCCCTCCCCTCTCCCAGCCTCTCTCTTCCCCTCTCCAACCTCCTTTTCCCAGTCTCCCCGAGTTTTGTTCAATAAAGAGAGATTCTATTTTTGACCACACGTTTTCTTTATTTTGTACATCAGGAAGGGGGGCTAGGGAAGGGTAAATGGAAGAAAGTGAGGGAGGAATGGGGTACGAGCCCCCGATGGGGAGGACTGGGCTGGCTCTGCGGGCTTATGGGGGTGGAAGCTCTCCTGCGGCCCCCCAATTGCCCCCTCTCCCCAGATGGCAGCCTGTGGCAAGTGCAGCCAGTCTGATGGCCGAGTGCTGCTTTGCAAGCGGGGCACCCCTGAGAACTGTCTGTCCGGGGTGGGGTCGGGTCCCTTTAAGCACAGCCCTCAGCTAGCCTGAGGCAGCAGCTCCACGCTCTAAGTCCTCATCTGATGTCCTGCCGGCACTGCTTCCAGCCATCCTTAACCCCGGTTCAGGGTCCACTTAATATGGACATGCTAGTTCAAATTAGCAAAATGCTAATTCGAACTAGTTTTTTAGTCTGGATCCGTTAGTTCGAATTAGTTTAGTTCGAATTAACTAATTCGAACTAAGTTAGTTCGAATTAGCGCTGTAGTGTAGACATACCCATCGAGAGGAACTGCATGCAGAAACAACCAATGTGATGTTTAATAGGTCATAAATGATGCATTTATTTACTTAAATTGTCCAAGAAAATTCACCATTAAGCAGATACCAGGCAGGCATGGAAACTTTCAGCCTAGGTGAAAGATTCCAAAATTTCCATACTTGATTTCTGTCTGCAGGTGAATTTTCTTGGAATGTTTAAGCACATAAATGCAGTTTTCCTCTAAATAAATGGAGAGTGAATATTTTGGCCCACGTTGCCAGTATTCTGTGGCTAACTCATCTGTTTCCATTTTCACTGTGCAGTTTTAACCATTTCAGTAAAATAGAACTCTGTCGCATGTGTATGTTACATGCAAACCTCTGTGTTCCAAGTGCCACATGTGCCTGAAAAGACAGATATTTTGCAACTGTCCTTTCAGATAGCAGTGAGGTAGCCAGTATACCTGCCAGCTCCTTGTGAATTCCTGCATGCTACCAGCGTAGGAGTGATTGGGAAGCATCCATTCATTTCCAGCTTCATTATCATTGGTACCAAAAAGACCAGCTGACACACCTGAAATCAGATGAAAATAGGGTAAGACAGGAATGGAACCATAGAAAAACTCTGGTTTTAGAAGTCACCACTGGCCTCTTGCTCTCCTGCCTTCTATAGCTGAGGTGAAATGCAGAGGTGATGTATTTGGGTTCCTGAAGGAGAGCATCCCTTGGCAGAGTAACAGGTTGAGAGGACTACATTATCATCCTGTGTGCTAGTCTTCACTCTGCCTTCCTGGCCAGAGAAAGGAGCTGCCATGATGGACAACAGATTTCTATAAAAATTGAGGGTGATGTGCTGTACAGCGGGGAAGCCATGACAGCTTATATTAATAAGACCAGAAGGATGCTTTTGTATAAATGTTCATGTGCTCTGTTATATCTGACACAGGGGCATAGCCACACGCAGGCCTGGATGGGCCGTGGTCCACTCACTTTGCATCCAGACCCACCCTTCTCCAGTTTACCAGGCGCTCCAGCCAAGAAGCAGGGTCAGGGCAGTGGGGCTTACGGGGGAGTGGGACCAGGGTGCTGGGGCTCCACCTGGTGTTCTAGCCAAGGAGTGGGACCAGGGTGATGGGGCTTTCCCTGCTCTGCCTAGTGTTCCAGCAGGGGAGAGGGGCTAGGGCAGTGGGGCTTACCCCTCTCCTTCCAATAAGCCAGGTGGGGAGCAGGAGTAGCAGGGCTAGAACCCACACATGATCAAGTGCCAGGCAGGCAGCGAGCGGAACAAGGCAAGCCCCTGCATGAAGACCCTGCTCTCTGGGTGCATCCCTGGGTTCCCTGGCCAGTTGTGTGCGTGTGGGGGAGAAGTGGCCCCATCCCTCCTGTCCTTCCCCCCCATTCTTGCCCACACACTCAGGGGCTGTGTCTACACTGGGCCACTTATTCCGGAAAATCAGCCGCTTTTCCGGAATAAGCTGCGAGCTGTCTACACTGGCCCTTGAATTTCCGGAAAAGCAACGATGCTCTACTGTACAAAATCAGCCACTATTCCGGAAAAACTATTCTGCTCCCGCTTGGGCATACGTCCTTATTCCGGAACACTGTTCCAGAAAAGGGCCAGTGTAGACAGCCCAGTAGTCTTTTCCGGAAAAAAGCCCCGATTGCGAAAATGGCGATCGGGGCTCTTTTCCGGAAAAGCGCGTCTACATTGGCCACAGATGCTTTTCTGGAAAAAGGGCTTTTCCAGAAAAGCAGCCTGCCAATGTAGACGCTCCTTTTCCGGAAAAACTGAAAACAGAATAGTATTCCATTTTAAGCATTTCCTGAAATTCATGCCAGTGTAGACACAGCCAAAGTCAGGGTCCACCCAAGTCAGCCTTTCTGGCTACAGCACAGATTATTTTGACATAGAAGAGAGCAGCTCTCAGACTGGCTTGTGGAGGTGGACTGGCTGGACACACAGTACTGCACCGCAAGCGGCTACGCTCAATTACAAGACAGCAAAATTGTAATTATTCTGTGTAAACATTCGTTGTTGTTACTGTAGGGACATGTTATATGTTTCATCACATTCATTGGTAGGATCTTGTGCCAGAACTTGAAGGACAGGCTAGTTCCGGTCAGCCCATAGTCTGAAACCTGAGCGTTCTAGAATTCAGAGAGAAAAACAAATCAGAAGGAGATGGGAACAGCTGTGCTGAATGTTTAGTGGTTACCATGATGCCATCCATCCAGTGTAAGAGTACAGAGATCATAGTGAAAGTCACAGGAGACAGAAACTGAATTTTCATTCGATACTTCTATTCTGTTAGCCTCCTTTCTTATGGTGAGTCCGTTCTTTTCAGACTGATTCAGACTGAGGCAGTTCTCCTCCAGCAGGGAAATATTGTAAATCTTGTATGTCTGTTTTAAGATAAGAATTTTCAGGGTAACTAGCTTAGGATGGATCTTGCAAGGTGTTGATTCCCCTTAACTACCCAATAGAATTGTACTTTCAAATATTTGAAACATCATTCCTGATTACTGGGTGAGCTCAGCTTGCACATGTGCAAATGGATGGTCCCATTTATGCCCAGCCCTATGGGGAAGGTAATGGTGTTCCTGAGGGACCGGTGAAGTGCGAAGCCTCCCAGCTGAACAGAAGCTTGTTCCTCCAAGAGTAGGTGCTGTTGTTCTTCTTGGCTTACACAGGATATACAAGAATTGGGAGAAAGGTTCTTTGAGCCTTCTCTACCCCATGTATCCACATACAAGTCAAGAAGAACATGGCCCATTATTGATAGGACTGATTGCCTTATTGAGGGCTATTCCCTTTTGCTGAGATATTCACTGTGTTTGCATTAACTTATGCGAGCCCCTGTGTGCTAAATCTGGGGCACAGATAAAGTCAGTGTTTGGCTTCTTTGTCAAAGTGCAGTGATTTCAGAGTTGCATATTCTCTTCTGGAAGGGAAAGAAGTTTGACTCTCCTGTCCTACCTTCAATCCGGGGTAGATATCAATGGTTGTCCAGTTCATTTTCACATGCAGTGAACCCAAGCCACTACTCTCCTGGTTCAGCACTACAGTAAATGTGTTGTGAACAAAATCCTTGGCAAGAAGCACACTGCACCTCGATGTCAGATCATACATTCTTCCATCAAAAGTCCTGATGTGCTTGTTTCCCATCAGTACAGCATGGTCTAGAGCATGGTATTGCAAAAGCAATGTCACAGTGTTGTTCACAGAGCTCATCGGGTAGCACTTAACTGCTTTCCAGAATCTATCTATTTGTTCTTAGGAAAAATGTACCCATTTCCTTATAATTTTATACCAGACTGGATCTCAAAGTCCTAGAACTTTGGAAAGTACGAAAAGAGGCTCCAAAGTTTACATTTGAGCCTATCTTGGTTTATAATCTTAATGCTAATTATACATATTCATAAACAGAAAGCAGGAATAAAGATTAAGAATCTGCCTTAAACAGAGGAAAGCCAGCAAAATCAGAGGTAAGACTGATTTTTATAGGTGCCAAGCAATGTTCCCTGTAAGCTGAGAGCTTGTGCAGCTGCTCAGAATTAGGAAAGCTCCCATAGCTAGGTTTTTGTTTCTATGGGTGGTTCACATTTGCAAATGTGTGGGTGCACATATTAAAATTTATTCAACAATTAGGTGGCAAGAATCTGCACATGGGAGGAAAAAATTAGAGGCACATTTGTGCCAAGGAATCTACATCAGCAGAATTCAATGGAAACTAGTGCACACCTCTGAAAATCTTACAGTCCACTCTTAAAACCCTCCAATCTGCCCAGATACTGGAGCTAATGAAGCACTGTCCAAAGCCTACTGTTTCTGGGAGCTCTCTTGTCTACTAATTGATAGCCAGATGTTCAGTGAGGACTGCTATCAATAGCAATGCTCTCTGTCTAATGTGATCTCTGAAGTTTCTACACAGCCAATCTTATACACTCTGAAGTTAACGGGAATTATGTCACCGACTTCAATGAAATTAAGATCAGGTCCTCAATGTGAGATCCTCAGCTCTGAGACCAATCATCATACCTCCTCACAATGGGATGTGGTTGAGATACCGATATATTCTACCTGCTCATTTCAAGCTTCCCAACAGAGTGGTGTTATATAGGCCTGCCAATGCAGTGGGGATGAGGAGGGCAAAGGGACATTTGTACCTGGGTCCAGTAATTCAAAGATTTGGGATTGGTCCTGCCTTGGGCAGGGAGATGGACTTGATGACCTCCTGAGCTCTCTTCCAGCTCTATGGTTCTATGATTCTAAAGAGGCCTGGGACTCCGGACCACTGCTACTGCTGCAGTGGTAGGAGCCCCAGGTCCTTTAAATCGCTGCCAGAGTGGGATGCCACACACTCCTCACAGCTCTGCGGGCCAGAGTGGCTCAGTGTGGTGGTTCAGACAGCGCAGGGCTGGCTGCCCCATATCCCACCCCTTCTGCCCAAAACCTCACCCCTTCTTGGGGCACAGAGCTGCCCTCCCACCTTGCCCAGGGGCTCACGGAAGCTTTCAGCACCCCTGGTGTTATAACACAGCTTTTCTGTACTGTATGTAATTAAAAAATAAGAAAAATTCACATGGAAGTTTGCTGGAGCTGAAAGTTCACCACAAATGTCTTATTTACCATAAGTGACTGCTGCACCACCAAAATATCAATCTACATAAAATCATTTAAAATACGACCCAGAGAAATATGATGTTAATTAACAATCCTCTCTTTGTATGCAAAATTCTATCTGGAGCTCAGAGGAAAATGGGAATAGCTGATTAGAGCTGCCAAGGAACCTACATTCAAAGGGGCTCTCCATCAGCCTCTGTTTGATTCTATAATACTCAGCAACTGGGTTGATGTTGTACAGGTCCCGGAGAGGCCGCATTAGCTTTTCCTCAATGAGGTAGTTAGTGATATTTGCCAGGCCCACAAAGTGGTCTCCTTTAGGCAGCACTGGCAGTTTCACTGCCATTGAACAGTTCCTGTGGGATACAAATGATTAACTTGTGGTGTTACTGGTGTTAAATTGATTAAATGTAGTCAATGTATCAAGTGGTATAAAATGGAAAAGAAAAGTGCTTCTTAAAGCTGAGTGTAGCATAGCTATATCATTTGCTGCTGGATATTTATTCTCCAAAGTGGGGAAAGCAGCCCATGACAATAGATGATAATATTACTTAGTATAAAGGGAGTCCAAAGCACAGGGAAGCTGCTGAGTTCTGTTCCCTAATACTGTAATTTGATGCAAATAACCGACAAGTATCTGTTTAGAAGACTATGCTGGGTGTAGAGCTTTCCCAAACGCTAGACTGCCCACTGTTACCTGGCTGAAAAACTGTACAGATTTGATAACGGTTTCCGGATCTTGTTCACAGCTCTGGAAATCCTGGCATCTGCCCATCTCAGTAGCTGACGTGTTGCCTAGTGGGGACACATCATTAAAAAACTTCAACACTGAAGTGGTTTTTGGACATGCTAAAAGGACTATCAAAGGACTATTAAAAACATAACACTTGACCCTCCCTCACATTTGTCACTTGCCTAACAGCAAGGCTTCCTGTTATTTAGAGGTGGCTGGTGAATGAGAAGTTAATCACGTTGGTATAAGAGAGAAATATATCCTCCTGATGACAATGCCATTTAACATGTACGCAGGCCCACTACTGGAGGGGTAAAGGGGGGGGGGGTCCCCAGAGCTATTTACAAACTATAGTGTGACAGGAATGACATGCATACCTCTGAGGTGGGAAGACCGCAACAATGTGGGTGACAAGCACACTGCTAGTGGTGTCATTTTGGCCAAAGACATCAGATTGACACACCCTCTAATATAAAATGTGCCTGAGGTACCAGGCCACTTTTTCGAAAATAGCAAACAGCCAAATCCATATCTTAGAGGTATGTGCACAAAGCAGGGAAGTGAAAATCTACCTGTGCAATTTGCATACACAGAAATGTTGCTTAGAATTTAGGTGCAATTTTAGTAGTTAGTTTGAGATCAGGTTGAGGCATATGGCCCTTGAAGTCCACAAAAAATGCAAAAAACCTTGAATTTTATCTCGTGTGAAGAGCCCCAAAGAAGAAAAGGATCCAATGGTGGCATCAGCCTTGAAAAGATGCATGATGAGTCAACCTGAATGGAACCTGAACCTGTATTTTGAAGCTGATGCTTAGCTCTGTATACCATCCCCTCTGGACCATATAAAAATTAAGCATTATTTTATACTAACCAAATCCAAGCTTGTTTTCATGGCTGTTAATGCCACCTGGATTGGTTCCATTAACCACACATCTTTTACAATACTGGGCACAAAAGCCTGGATTTTCTTCATATATTCCTCAGTTTTCTCTTGCCAAACTTCGTCCAGTGACTTCAAAGTCACATCATAGTAGGCATCCTTCAGGGTGGCTAATGGTTCTGAAACAAGTGTGAAACTGACCTTAGCAAATACATTTTAACGTGGACCTCAGTTGTAATTCAGGACAAAATTGTCACCGCCTCAACAAAGGAGGGGGGTATTCTCTGAACAGTAGGTTATGGGACAGGCTATGGAAAACATGGCCAGCCCTGATCTGCCTCCAGCATCCAGAAGCAGACACTGAGGAGGCAGGGAGTGCATGGAGCTCTTTCAAATCCACTGGCAGGCACGTTAGATGGCACTCCCATCAGGCTGTCCACATCTGCTTTGCACGAGAAGAATGCCGCCTCTGCTCTACCTCTGACACTCTACCTCCCACCTTATCGCCCTCTGAGGAGGAGCACAGGGACAATTTGGTTATTATAATTGAAAGCACAAATACACATTGCACATGCGGACAAGGTCTAAGTGCTCTTTATTGGCATTGGGGGACAGATCATGTTCCGTAGCTCCAAGATCATGTACCAAAGTTTTCTCTTGTGCCATAATCAGAGATGGATACAGTCCACTTTATTTTCCTCTGTTAGTTTTACTGCAAAAATCGTCCTTCTGAAACATCATGGCTACGTCTAGACTGGCATGATTTTCCGCAAATGCTTTTAACAGAAAAGTTTTCCATTAAAAGCATTTGCGGAAAAGAGCGTCTAGATTGGCACGGACGCTTTTCCACAAAAGCACTTTTGAGCAAAAGCTTCCGTGGCCAATCTAGACGTGCTTTTGCACAAAAAAGCCCCGATCGCCATTTTCGCAATCGGGGTTTTTTTGCGCAAAACAAATCTGAGTTGTCTACACTGGCCCTTTTGCACAAAAGCTTTTGCGCAAAAGGACTTTTGCCTGAACGGGAGCAGCATAGTATTTCCGCAAGAAGCACTGATTTCTTACATGAGATCGTCAGTGTTCTTGCAGAAATTCAAGCGGCCAGTGTAGACAGCTGGCAAGTTTTTCCGCAAAAACAGCTGCTTTTGTGAACTGCTAGCTCATGTGAACCGCTAGCAATGGAGCGGCTGGCAGCACCCTAACCACAGAACAGATACAATGCCCAACATCTCGTTACCATTAGTCCTAGCACTTTACTCCTTCAGTTAATGGTTTAAGTCCCAATGCGGGAGGAGATGGGGAGAGGGAAAGGTTGGCAGGACATTTCAGCATGTACTCCTTGACTGAAGAATCTGCTTCCAGCCTTAGTCTGACAGAGCCTAGATTTACTGACATTCAGGCATGAGTCAGAGACTACACTTACCATGCTGGATTTCATTAGCGGATGTGTTAAACGGGGGCTAGTTGGAGGCTTTCTTACTGTGGCAACTAGAGAAATGATCTATGTGAATATGGAGTCCAGCAGAGCTTGTATATATTTATACATAACTGAGCAGAACCCAGAGTTTTTGTAAGATCAAATAAAAGCATCTGTGCTATTCGGCACCTTATTTACTCAGTTTGCTAGGCCCTGCTTCCTCTCTGTGCTACATATCCCCTTCCTTTAAGTGTCTCTGCTTACTTTGTAGTTCATTTTGCATTTGCTGTACAGTCTCTTGAATTTTTTCCAAGTACAGTGGGAGGTTGTTCCGCAGAGCTTGCTTGATTCCACTCTGCTTCCACATCTGGGTGACAGCTCCCCCCCCATTTTGCAGGATTCCAGCAACTTCCCGGGAGGCTTTCAAAGGCCAGCCAGCTGCTTCATACAGGAAATCAATTTGCTGCACCTACAGTGGGCCCCAAACAGCAAGAAATGTAGAAATATGCTATGATTTTTAGTAAACTTATGGAGCATGTTGTCTTGCGACAATAATGAGTGCTTGGGAAGGAGAGCAACAGAGACCATATCCTAAGCCTGATCCTCTCATGCTAACCCAAAGACTTTAAGATTCTGCATGCGAGGTTATGAATACATTGTTAGCTCATATTGAAGAGGCTGCCTGATGTAGCTGCAGATATAAAGAGTAATGCACCCTGATGGTATAACGACCAAGCCTCCCACAGGAATATGGTCAGTCTGGGCTTGATGTAGGGAGTCACAGGGTGTGTCTAGACTGTGTCCCTCTGCCAACAAAGGGATGCAAATCAAGCACTTTGGAAGTGCAAATGAGCCTGGAATTTAAATATCCTGGGCTTCATTTGTGTACTCACCTTCCGACGCTGTGCCGATCAGGCTCAGTGTCGAAAGTAAAGTGTAGCCACGGTTCTGCCACGTTTCTGCTGACAGCGGCGGCTTTTCCGACAGATCCTGTACTCCTCAAAAAACGAGGAATAATGTTAATTTAAACCAAGGGGTTTGGTTTGAACTAACGTGAACCAGCGCGCACTTTCATTTTCAAAACAGCTGTTAAGCAGAGAAACGCGCCAGCGAGATCATGCTAATGAAACGTAGGATATTTAATTCCCTGCTTCATTAGCAATTTCAGTCGCCTACATTTGCAGCCCTAGTATGAACTAGGAAGCAAGTGTAGACGTACCCTTAGTATGTATTCAAACCCATGTAGCCTTGATTAGGCAAAAGTTGTTAAACAGTCTGGCTACGTCTAGACTGGCATGATTTTCCGCAAATGCTTTTAACGGAAAAGTTTTCAGTTAAAAGCATTTTTGGAACAGAGCGTCTAAATTGGCCCGGACGCTTTTCCGCAAAAGCACTTTTTGCGGAAAAGCGTCTGTGCCAATCTAGACATGCTTTTCCGCAAAAAAGCCCCGATCGCCATTTTCGTAATCGGGGCTTTTTTTGCGGAAAACAAATGTCTACACTGGTCCATTTGCACAAAAGTTTTGCGCAAAAGGACTTTTGCCCGAACGGGAGCAGCATAGTATTTCCCCAAGAACACTGACAATCTTACATGAGATCATCAGTGCTTTTGCGGAAATTCAAGCAGCCAGTGTAGACAGCTGGCAAGTTTTTCCGGAAAAGTGGCTGATTTTCTGGAAAAACTGGCCAGTCTAGACACAGCCTCTGTTGTAAACAAAGGCATCTGTGTTTGCTTCAATTTACATATAAGTAATAAACAACATCTTTGAGATTGCAAAAGGGGGGTAAATCTTTGCAACAATAAAGGACCAGTTGCCTCTTCTAGCCAGGTGTCAAAGATTACTATAAATTACCAGTCAAGTGACCATTCTTGGACAATGAAAGGGGCCAGGTTTGAGGGAACATTGAGCAAGAAAAGACTGATATGTAATTTAGCCAACAAGATGGAATCTCTTTTCACCACAAACCTGCAGGTCTCCATCTTCACAAGAACTTTATCTACGGATAACCCCCAGGAAAATGCATTTCAAGGGGGAATGGACTACAAAAGTGATGGACAAAAACGCCCCACAGAATCTCTCTTTCTTTCCCATCAAAGACAACAAAAGAATCAGCCTATTGACTTTGGGAGGGATCCTGACATGAAGATTTGCTGGAAATATGTGGCAAGGATTTTACCTAACTCCTAGAATAAATTCTTTTTATTTCTCTTGTAACCATTTTTTACTCTCTGGCTATGTCTAGACTACATCCCCCTGTCAAAAGAGGGATGCAAATAAGCCCGACTGAAAGTGCAAATGAAGCGCAGATTTAAATATCCCGCACTTCATTTGCATATTCGTGTCTGATCGCTGTTTCGAAAAAGGGTATTACAAAAGTGGAATTGCAGTTTAGACGCAGTTCTCTCTCAAAAAACCCCCTTTTTTTGAAAGAACCCGTACTCCTGAAAAAATTAGAAGTATGAGTTCTTTTGAAAAAGGATTGTTTTTTTTTTTTAAAGAACCGTGTCTAGACTGCGGTTTCACTTTCAAAATACCCTTTTTCGAAACAGCGATCGGATGCAAATATGCAAGTGAAGCATGGGATATTTAAATCCGCACATCATTTGCATTTTCGATTGGGCTTATTTATATCCTTCTTTCGACAGAGGGATGTAGTCTAGATGTGCCCTAATACTTGTACTCCTTAATCTCTCTCTTTGTAGTTAAATAAATGTCTATTGTTTTTATTCAGAACTAATCCAGAGCTGTGTTTAAACTGAACTGTTTGAATAACTCCAATAAGAGAAGCAAACTGTTGGATATTGACCCCTTGCAGGGGCACTGGACCTCTCATAGCTGAACTGCCTAGGAGAGGGCTGGACTGTGCAGAACACACATTGCTGGGACAATTTGAGACTGGGAGTGTGTTGGGATCATCCTGCAAGCAGTAACTAGGCTGGTGGATGCAGTGTGACTGGAGTGCTGCTAGCAGGCTGCTGGTGTCAGAGCTGTTAGTCCAGGATCACAGCTATATACAGACCTCAGGCTCTTACCTGAATGCTGTTAGGCTGTTTGTGAGTTGCCCACTGCAAAGCACCTTGAGACACACACGGTTGCAAAACAGATGGTGAGACTGACCTGGATTGCAGCCCAAAATGACCCCTTCCCAGAGAATATCAAAGATGCTTCTTGCACCGCATTCCATGGTGCGCTCAGGTATACTGCATGTCTGCATGGAACCATCCTACATTAGGCGATTTGGCCATTTCTAAGATATTTATCATGCTAATTACTTACTGAGCTCCTGAATTTCCAAACCGATTCATCAAACTTCTTGATCTTCTCCATGAGTTTGGCTTTAAGGTGGCACCCAATTTCATTAAGTTTATACTGTGAAAATACGAAATATAAAGATTTTATGATTGAGGAAACATTTGTGCCAAGCTAATTAAGAATCTAGTCAAATCCAGGAGGGGTGGTTGACCTACCAGTGCAGAAACTAGCTGAACGTGAACATTGCTTCAAAAGGAGCCATAGGGGAACAGGAGAGACTTGTTGACTCTACAGCTCTCTGAAGACTTTTCCCCTTGCCGCGCTCCTATGAAGCCCTTTCAGGAGTTCACAGGCTCAGCACTGAACTAGGACTCAGGAAACCTGGGTTCTATTCTTCTATTGGTGCTGAATGACATTGGAAACTGCTTCCCTCTCCCCTTTTGTCTGTCACTTCTATTTGTGCTGTCACTCTGTCTCTTACAACATTTGTACCTAATACAAAGACCACCCACCTGAGACCTGGGATCCTAAATTATATTGTAATACATATCGTCTCCAACCTCAATGCCTAGCACACAGGAGCCAGTATAAGGGAAACCCTACCTGTCTTTCACAGAGGTAAATCAGAGGTAATTCTTGCAATACAAAGGGCCTTGCCAGTGCAGTAAGGCATGTTTAACATGTCCCTGTAGAAGCTGGCCCACTATTATTTCACAGTAACACTGTTACACATGTTCTATATTCTCCCTGGGATCTGAGCAGAGAGCTCCTATTAGTTTCAGTAGAACTTTTGTGCTGTAGAATGTCTGTACTGACTTTCTGGCTCTTGGCAAAATCCACCAAAATGTTGACTCATCCCAGTTATAAAATGGTAACATAATTACATTGCTATCAGGGGAGAATCCCAAACACGTCTAATATGCCATGTTATTGGATACAATCCACAAATGAAACCCCTCTGGAGGATGTTCCACTAGTTTGATTTTAAGAAAAATATTCTGTAGCTTGAAATGCAGCACTATCAACTGCTGCTGAAGGCATCTCACCTCAACTTTAATTATTGAATTTCCACACCCATGAGCTACCAAACTCAAGCTCTGGTTAATAGCAGTTAGGGTCAATTGTCCCAATCTTTCTTGCCTTACACCATTAACATTGAGATAGGTATTAATGGTAGCCATCCGTTGTCCATCAATACATGCAGTGAGCTCTACTCCTTCCTCCAAGTCTCCTGGGTAAGTAAAAGGAGATATTCATTTGCACAGACAACATTGACAGGCATTGTTGTTTTACAGCCAGCTTTACAATTAGAGTGGGATTTATGCAATTATTATCGAGGTTATGTGCTGCAGAGAAAAGAAAGGACTATACAGGAGAAACATCAAACCAGCTTCATTAGGGTTTCTCCTTGGTATAACTTTACTTACTGTATATACTTTACAGTAAATGTGTGCAGGCTTTCTGAAGCTATTGGCTAACTTAATAAGGTGACATTCTACTCTCAGATCTTCACAATGACTCAGGTCATAGATCCTGCTGTCTCTTTGACTTCACAACTGGAGATTTTCATTCAAATCCTGCTTAGGGCACAAACGAAATGTGTTGGGCAGTCTGATTGCTCATTCACCCATGAAAAGGGGCTAAATGAAGGAAGCACTGATCAGTTACAATGATCAGTTCCTTGCTCAGTTTCACACATTGAACCATTTCTGTTCAAGAGACTCCCAAGAATGGAGGACTGAGGCATTGTGTGGCTTTTGCAGGCATTTTTCCTGCTTCTATATGCACAGGCTCTGAGTCAAGTCATTACCAGCAAACCTTGATTTGCACATTGAACCCATGTAGGCAAGAGAAGGATCAGTTTACTTAAGAAAAGTTTTCAACTCCATCCCTGCCTATTCAAATACAGACATGGTTAGTGGTTATACCACCCAGCCTACAGGAAACAAGTTGTTGGGCTCAGTCTATAGGGTCCAGATAGTGACAAACCTACCATAATTGGCACCCTTGTTCATAGGCTCAACTGCTGGGATTGAATGGCAATGACAATGGAAATGAGCTGGCTCTTTCCTCTCCTGTGTGTGCAATGCCATGGGCTGTCACTCAGCTTATTTTTCATAAACAGCAGCTCTAATACATTTACCTTTTACATAGCCCATGTAATACTGGTGACACTCCTTTGCTTTAGACACAGTTACTTTTACTTTCTCTTTTCGATCAATATTTCCCTCCATCAGGATTTGGCTTTGAAGAGCAGAGGAAACAGCAGTTCCTGACAGGCCTAGCCAAATATCTTCAGATGCTTTCAGCTGCATTCATGAGAAAAAAATACACTGATGCCGAACCAAGACAAAGAACAAATGAAGCAACATTCAGTGAGGTGGTCGGAGTGCCACTGAGCTCAACATAAGATCAAATGGCATTGGAGATACTTTTCAGCACCTGTGCTTTGCACACAGGAGCGAGCCTGTGCTGAAAACCTCAAGCAATAGGATTGTTGGCTCGAGACAGAATAGTTTGATAGCGCTATAGAGTCAATAAATTACACCACTGCAGACTGTGCCAGGTATGAGGATAATCTTTTCAAGCTAGCAATGAAGGAAACAGTGAAGATCAATTACTTGCTATGTTGCCAGTTTGTGCCGCTCATTCCCAGTGCATGTACCAGTATACAGAGTCCATAGGCAGGAACTGAGTTCCCCACCTTTAATATCTCTTCTTTTGACATAGTTCCTTTAGAAGACTGTCCAAGCTATTAGAATATTTCAAGCAGTAGCTAATGTTCCATAAAATAATGATGTTTAGCTATCAGTTTCCCTCCCAAAACATGTTCAAGTGTCATGATGCTGTTGACAATATATTTCCCTTCCCCATGAATCTATCTGGATTACTTGCATCTACAAGTTAAAATACAGGGAAAGGAAGGTGTTTGGCTGACTGATGATCAAAATACCTGGCAGTTCTCCATCTCTCTTGCAGAGACCAGTGTTGTGTTTTGGCAACAGACTCTTTGTCTGAATCTAACATTGTGTTTCCCTGTGAATAATGTATATTTGCTTTTGCTAAGATCCTGTTCTATGCTTTGCCAAATAGGCCAGCCACTTAAATTGCAGATGCTGAATACAGTAGCAGGCTGTGGAGGCCATTTAAAAGCATAACATTCACTCCAGGAAAGAAATACTGCATGTCACCAAAATCTGCAGCTGACTAGTCTTAGTATTTTCTTTTCTCTTCTGGTTACACTACCTCTGCAGTGCAAGCCAACACAGGAAAGGGGATTGTTACTGAACTCAGGAAGCAATTTTTAAAAATTATTTTTAGCTTGTATTTCCCCCCATTTCACAACCTTTTTAGTCACTGGATGTACTTACAGAGTGTACACACTAGATGGCAGTATACCTTCAACAAAGAAAAACTAACAGGGTGGTGGAGGAGGGGGCAGGGAAGGAGATTGCAATAAAGCTGATATCTTAAAAGACTTCACAGATGTCAGTGCCCAGCATTAAACTCACTTCAAATTCCATCAAATATTTCTTCAGTTCAGCTGTGCTGTTATTCTTTAAGGCTATTGTGATCACCCTGTCGTCTCTGCCATCACCAGTAAGGCGGAGTCTGCCTTCTGACTGCAGGATGATATCTCCTCTGTTGAGCTGATGCTTTCCAGCAAGAACAATTACCTAGATATGGAAAAGGTCACTATTTAGGCTTAGTTCTGCTATAGAAAGTACAAGTAAGAAAATATGCAGAAGTTGCCACAGATATTGGCATTCTCTTGGTCACTTAGCAAAATAATCAACTATACTTGTCATTTTGGAAACCAGCCCCCTCTTACTTCACTATGCCTCTAAATCTTTGTAATTTAACCACTGCACATTCAGTGATCATTTATGTGTACAACACTAGATGAATGGCTGAATTAAAATTGCACTTCCAATAAAACAAGTGAATTTCTTTTTGGTCTTGTACTGAACTACTGTACCCGTCATTCTTACAGATACTATTTTTTATATAGACAGAAGATTTTTAAAGCAGGAAGATGCATCAGATTTTAAATTGTCATTTTAAATATGGGCCAAACAACTGCCGAACGTTGAAAAGTGTTATTGGGATCCAGATGAGAACCCTATCTTCAACCTGCTGTGCTTGCCAACAAGGGAAGCAGCTGGGAAGAGAACAAACTGATTTTACAAATACAGACTTTAAGTATGCTGGTGAATATTGTGAAGCTTTTAATATCTATAGGAAGCTCTGGAGTCCAAGCATGAAAACAGGACAGAACACAGAAAGATGTGCGTGTAAACTAAAAACAAACACCAAGCATGGGACCAAAGCTTGACCTCCATGTTCTTCCACCAGCACCACATCAGGATGGGAATCGTCTCAAGGCAGTGTAGGGATGAAGGATAACTGGGTGTATTGGTCTCAGCTGACCTCTCTGACCAACTGCAAGAACTGCTAGGCCAAGGCCTTTGAGGGAGGGCAGGGAAATAGAGTCACTGGCATTTTTAAGGGCAGAGTGATCATGTTTTCCTATGCTAAATATGGGACACCTGGTAAAATAGCTTGTATTCAATCAAGAGAGTTAAATGACAATCAGAACTACTCAGTACAAATATTCAAATTAATATCAAGTTGTCTGAGCCCGTTTAAAAGAAATATTGAGTAGCCAGAGTCTTTTTCATTACCTTCTTATCTTTAAGATTTGCATAGGCAAAGGAAACAACCGTACCCACACCACCTTCCTTGTACACCTCTCTCACATGAGGTTAGGGATGGTCGACTGACCTGATCCAACCTGGTGCTCTCCACCCTCCATGCCTGGCTGGGCTGCCAGACAGAAACCACCTCTCCTGGTACCTGGTGCCACACTCTCTCAAGGCAATGTATGGGGGCATGCAGGTTTATGCCTCCCTTACCCCCCATTTCTGTGAGGGTTCACACCAGAACAGCAGCCTTTTGGCACTGTGCAGGAGGGAAGAGACGGGAGCTGTTTCCAGGTATAGGGGAGTGAGGATGGGGAATAGGGATGATTTGGCCTGTGTCTTCGTAGAGATCATCTCCTACCCCAGCCCCCCCACACACACTCCTTTGTGGCTTGAAGAAGCGTGTCGTTTCCTGCCCATAGAAAGGCAGCTAACACCTCCAAACTTCTAATGGTCACCCACATAACCCAGCCAACTCCTTTTCTGTTGCTATAGTGTGTGCAGGAAGGGGTTAAGCCCTAAGGATGCCTTGGTCACCATGGCCCACACAGGGCTTGGTTCCTCCTGGCCAGTGTCCTGGGCCAGAGGGTCTTGAGCTCTCCCTGGCTGCCAGCCCAGCCAGAGGCAGTGGGGGAAGGAAGGAGCCTGCCAACCAGGCTGTTGGTGAGCTGAATGATCTGACTAGGGGTTGGTTCCCTCACAGCGCTGAGAGCAGGCTGCACCCTGCAGGTGCAGATATGGAGGAGCAGCAGGACAGTGGGAGGGTGAATGGGCACAGCAGGGAGAGGACGGTGAGAAAGGAGCATGTAAAGAGCCAATGGGTGGGCAGCGGAGGTGACACTAAGGAGTCACCACCTGCCTGCACTCACCAGGCACTGCAGCAAGCAGCCAGTGCTGGCTGGAAATGGGATGAGGATTAATAAAATCTGCTGGCGAACAGGAGTCACTCAGCAGGGACTGCACTAATAGACCAGCAGGGGCAGCAGCCAGCCCCACACACGGCAGCTTTGCCCAACCACCAGCCTTACACATCCACTGCAAGCATCAACCACTGGATCCCTCCCACTCACTGCTGGTGGGGGGTAGCTGGTGAGCAAAGATCTGGACAGCAGCAGGATGCACCCATACTGATTGGACAGGAGAGACCAAAGAATAGGAGAATTTGCCCATTTTTCAGAAAAAAATAGTGACAGCTGCAAGAGAGCTTAAATGCAGGACTGTCCCTTTAAAAACAGGACATCTGGTCACTCTATTTAAGGGGGACTAGAAAACCTGGTATATATAGAAAAGTAATAAGAGTCTAGTGGAAACAACTCTTCTTCCCCACTCCCAAATCCCATTCAATATGTACTTAAATTTGCTAAATTCTAGACACAAATATCTAGTGGTAATTTTGGGGGCTGAAGGTCAATGAAAAATAAGTCATTTAACTGGCAGATTCTTAAGAATTACACTAGCAGCAATACACTGTCAGACTTACATTTGGAAGGTCACAAAGGGCAAGACTCATGTAGTAATCTAGCCAAGTAGAGAAGTCTGTTCCTATTTTACTCAGCATGTGTTGCTTGCTGCATGAGGTCAGAAAAACATTTTCCAAAGTGACTTCTAACAGAAATTTAGCTGGATACAATGGTCTGTTTCTCTGTATTAAACCAAGGAAATACTCTGTTAATGTAGCAATTGAATGAAAAAGTATAGTTATCCAAACCAATAGTTTTCCCCAATACATCAAGTTGCCAACTTCCCTCCCCAAAAGACGGTCCGATATACATAGGTAGCCAGCTAACTGGTTGTGTCACTTCCATGTAACTCCCAGCTCCTGTGACCCGAAGAGCTAAAGCTTCAACATAAGCCACAAATACCTTCTTTCAATATGGGAGCATGATGGTTTCTTAGCTGGGCGAATGTATAGCATCCCTACAGTCTCATGGTACATGCAAGGCAAAGGGGAGGCCTGCATTTTATTTCAGTTGATTTATTCTTAGCTATTATGCAATTCTCTTTTTTCTATGTGAAAATAAAGGGAAACTATTAATAGTGATAATTTACAAAATAATAAGAGTAACCTTTAGCTCAGTGGAAGATGTTTATAGACAGTGTTTCAAATTCCAGTCTATATTTTTCACTGAGTTCTCAGGTGATGCATGTGAAATTCAAAAACTAAGGATAAACCCGTATCTCCACAGAAATTGGTGCTGCAAAGTAGATGATGAATAAACAGATATGGTAGCTTTTTGATACCTCATATGTCAGATTTTGTCTGATATTTTTTCCATCCCAGTTCAGATCTAGATACTCATTAAGGAAGATTGTTGTTTGTTTTATAGCCCCACATGCCTGAAGACTTCCTACAGTTAGTACTTTCTGAAGCTGGAAGAGAGAAAAATAGAAGATACATGTGGATGCCTTTGCCTGTCTTATATTTTCTTTCTGGAAAATTAATTTACAGATATACACAAATGTAGTTTATAAACTCTTAGATAATTGCTATAGTGGAATGTGCTCCAAAGTAGAATCAATTCCAGTACAGACAGCTATTGCAAGTGGAACCTATGCACAATTTAAGTCCCGCTTTGCTCCCATTGCAAAACTTAAGTGGTGTGTCATAATCATCAGTGCAAAAGTGCATTTCATCCCAAATGAAAAAAATAGGTTTGGACTCAAAACAGAATTTTCCTGAACATTTGTGAGTAATACAGTAAAGATTCCACAGAGGTTTTATTTTACTCACTGATTAAAAAAAAGTCTTACAATCAAAGCTCAGATTTTCATGACAACAGATGGAAAGAACTTTCAATTCTCATAGCAATGAAAGCTCAGAAAGTAAAGCATGTTACTTTTAAACTCCTATTAAACTCCAAATTCATACCTGACCTGAAGAAACTACCACACAAGCATCCCACAGGGTGATGCTGAATTTAGATTTGTCTTCTAGAGTAATTTTGAAGTCAGCAGGCTTCCCACCATTCCAAGTAAGCTGCATCTAAAACCAGAAGAGATAGATTTTGACAGTGATCCTGGGATGCAGGGACTAGAACTAATGGAACAGCCAGATAGAATCCCCCCAAGGAAGATGTCCAGAGGAAACAACCATATTTGTTGCAATAACTACTATGGAAGGCCAATATTTTCTATTCGCAACATTTTGAGGCATTTCTAAGACTGTTCTAAGCATGTTCCATGTCCTAGAGTGTGAATACTTTACCAAACTGCATGCTGTCAAGCCTCAAAAAACACCTTCTGCTCCTCTTGGCAAGTCCATCAGTAAATTGCATTTTTAGAATGAGGTCAATGAAAGTCTTTCATTGATTTTATTGGGAATTGGATTGGGCCAATAGTCCTCCATCCCCAAAATTACCTTTGAAATTAATCATTTCGGTGGAGCCATGTCTACACTACAGAGAAAATCAAAGCTGCTTGATCTTCTGGGGTTCAAATTAACAGGTGTAGTAAAGACACACTAATTTGAACTGAGAGGGCACTCCTGTGGACACCGGTATCTTGCGCCTATGAGGAAAAGAGTGTGTTCCCTTCAAATTCCCACAGTGTAGACGGTGCCAAAATTCAAGTTAAGATACTTTGACTCAAGCTACTCAATTAATGTAGCTAGAGCTATGTATCTTAATTCAAACTTATCCCCTAGTGTAGACCTAGCCTGGGAGTTTTGCCTATGTAAAAACTGGACAAACAAGACCTATCCCTAGGCAAATGCTGTTCATTGCAGATACAATCACTTTTTTATGAAAACAAGTTGCAAGCTTTGTTATCTGTGCAAGGATCAGAAAAGAAATCCCAAGCCCCAGAGACAGCCCTGCACAATTCATGCAGCTTAGGCTACATCTAGACTGCAGGCTTCTTTAGGAAGAAGCTTTTCCAGAAGAGATCTTCCAAAAAAACACTGCCAAAGCGCATCAAAAAAGCGGTCTGTTTTTCCAAAAGATAGCATCCACACTGAATCGACGCTATCTCGCCTTTCAGCTGTGATTACTATGGACAGAGTGGCCACCAGGGCACCTGTGCTTTTTCCTCTTTCCTCTTCTTTCAAAAGAACTCCCTCTTCCCCATCCACACACGCCTTTTTCCTAAAGCTCTTTCGGAAAAAGGCTTCTTCCTTGTAGGAAGCCCTCTGTTCTTTCCATTTGTTTTTCAAAAGAATGCGATTGCAGTGTGGACATAACTGGAGGTTTTTTTGGAAAAACAGCCGTTTTTCGGAAAAAAAACCTCTGTAGTGTATACATGGCCTTATTATTGGGCATTGTCATCAGCTTAAGGTGATGACAATATGCAAAGGTCCTGATCCAACATTGCAAAAGCTATGTCACACATATATCCTTTAGATAGGTCATAGAATATTTTCCATTTCTAGCATAAGCACTTTGCAGACAAACCTGACAAAAACATACTTAAATCCTTTTTATGAATCAGCTTTTGTTATGGCTCCCCACCTTCTTTTGGGTGTGGGACTTTTATTTGGAGGCTAAACACTGAAGCTTTGTATGTTCTGTATATACATTAAAGAATTCAGAGCACTTTTTAGAGGAATAGGGGTTTGTGTGGCTGTTCTAGGCCCAAATTCATTTGGCCCCTTCCCTACCCCACTGCTGTGTCCTTCAAGGTGCTATAAGTACACCTCAGTAAGATGTTGTCTATTCCCAAGAGCTGCATGCAAAGGTCTCTGATAAATCACAGCATGTGTCTATACTTAGAGGAAGAAATAATGAAGGTATTTGTAACCCTAGGACATGGCATGCCTTGGTTAGTTCCAGCGTTTTAATGATTCTCACTGTATATGAAGATGTTGGATACAGATATTTAATTTGAAGCATCTCTGATTATCATACCTGCTGGTTGTACTTTCCACCGATTCTTTCAGACAGGGAACTGACCTCCAGTTGCCTCAAGGTGAAATTAAACGGGTGAACAATAGTGACTTGGTAGTTTACATGCTCTTTTCCAAATTTCAGGGATGATGAAACTAACACCTGTTCAACATCAACAGACACAGAAGTGGCATGAGTAACAAAACTCCTTATACTAACTGAACTGGGAAACTAGTTCGAAGCTTTCAGTAGCTTTCACTCACATGAATGACAGGCTTAGCATTAGAAGTCAGTTTTAGAACAAGGTTATTCTGACCACATAATCTCCTCTGTGGTTTCAATGGGATGCACTTTACCACTGTAGTAAGGCCATAATCCTGCAAAGACTCACACAACTTTAAGCACTGTAAACAGGTCCATTGTCTTCAAAAAGACTTTGCATTGTATGTGAAGATTAAACATGCATAAGTTTTTGCAGAATTGGGGTCTAAATTGTGTATGTTATGTGAGAATTGTTTAACATCACACACTACATATGGAAAGAAACTTCAGGGAGTAGCCAAATTAGTCTGTAATGCAAGAATCTTAGTACCTTTCCTATCTAATTGTGATCCTTGGATCCTTATCCGCTTCTTTTTAACTATCCGACCTTCAGATGCTTATAGATTACCAGTTCTGCATACTTGTTTTTCCCTTTGATATTTTCATAGCTTCTGCTCCTTGTTTCTCAGCCTCTTCCTTTTTTTCCTTCCTTCTCTCTCCCTTCTCCCCTATTTATTTTGGGTCTGCACATCCTAAACTCAAAACTCCAGTCATCTGAAGAAGTGGGCTGTGCCCACGAAAGCTCATGATACTATCTACGGCTACGTCTAGACTGGCATGATTTTCCACAAATGCTTTTAATTGAAAAGTTTTTCTGTTAAAAACATTTGTGGAAAAGAGCGTCTAGATTGGCATGGACGCTTTTGCGCAAAACCACTTTTTGCGGAAAAGCATCCGTGCCAATCTAGACGCGGTTTTGTGCAAAATGGTTCTCAGCTGTCTACACTGGCCCTCTTGCGCAAAAGCATTTGCGCAAGAGGGCTTTTTCCCAAATGGGAGAGTCATTGTATTTGCAGAAGAATACTGACAATCTTACATTAGATCGTCAGTGTTCTTGTGCAAATTCAAAGCAGCCAGTGTAGACAGCTGGCAAGTTTTTCCGCAAAAGCAGGTGCTTTTGTGGAAAAACTTGCCAGTCTAGATGCAGCCTATATGTTTTGTTAGTATATAAAGTGGTACCAGACCATTTGTTGTTTTTTAAGTTTACATATGGAAAGACAGTATATATTTTAGCAATGGTTGAAGTATTCCCTCTATAGTTCTCTTCTAAATTTAATTCGGGATTTTGGTCTTTGTATATTTTACTCTGAGGGAAGCTTGAATCTTTATGGAGACAAATTCATTTTCCATTAGGGTAATGTGTTTACAATTCACTTTCCTCTTCCCATCATTAAGAAAATAATGCTCTTTGAAATATACCTGTCTTGAGTAACATTAGGCCAGTATAGCAACCCGTTTAGTGTCTCAAGATGTTAGCAATTATACCTTAGGTACAAATTCAAAGTATACACAATTTGCTGTAAGTTAGAGCTTGAGATAAACTCAACAGTTCACCTGTGGTTTTATATTATGACTGAGATGATTCTGATTAAATTAGGTCCTATACCAATTATTTTTAAAGGCAAATTTGCACCTTTATTTTGAAAATGGAAACTGGTTTACCTGTAGTGTAATATGCATTAGATATTTCATGCCAAATGTATCATTCTTATTGCTAATTAGGAGAAATCAAAGAAGAAAAGGCAGTGACTACATCACTAATGTTAAAAATGTTGCCACTTGTAGTATTTATTGTCTAACTCCTGTTAGAATGAATCTGACCCTCTTCATTGAAAGAAATAGTCTTTTAATCTCATACAACTACCTCCCCCTCTTCAGTGGCTTCTCATCTAATTAAAAATTCTTCTTTTGGCTTTGAAATTCCCTCAAAGACTTGCTTCATTCCACTTTTTTTTTTTTAACCTTAGATTGCCCTCTTTCCCATCCTGGTCATTTGCTCTTCCAAATCGTAGCCTGTATGGGTACGTCTACACTACAGTGTTATTTCAAAATAGCTTATTTCGAAATAACACGTCTACACACAAAATGCATTTCGAAATAGCATTTTGCTATTTTGAAATAGTGCGTCCACATTGAGTGGACTCTGAATCACATTTAAGGCTGGCCAGAACCAGTTCCAGCAGGGCACCAGGTCAGGACTTACTGAGGTCTGTGCTTAAAGGGACACCCCTTCCCCTGCCCCCCTGGACAGCCAGTTCTCAGGTTTCCCTGCTTGCTTGTCTACCTCGATGAGGGACAGCAAAGCATTTTGTCTCTGCATGCTCTGGTTGCCCTCACTCAGGACACCACAGAACTCGGCAACATGGAGCCAAAGCTGCCCCTGGGCACTCTGGTGCTTCTCTTGGACATGTTGCTGTGAACCTGGCTGTACTTTCTGTAGGCTGACATCCGGGAGGTCCATCGGGGGGCTGTCAGTATCCAGGAGGCCCTGTGGGAGAGCTTCCACCCTGAGGAGCACTAAGAATCTCCCTGGTCTGCCCCACTGGGGGCTTGTGCCACATTCCTCCCTCAAGTCCTTCCACTTACTCCTCCCTAACCCCCTTCCCGATGTCAAATAAAATACACGTATTTTCATGAACACAAACTCTCTTTATTTAAAAAAACTGGGGGGGAGGGAATGAAACTCTGGTGAGACTGGGGAAAGGAGGCAGGAGAGGGGAGAAGAGAGGGTAGGAGAAGGGAGGGGAAAACCTGGGAGGAGGGAACTGGAAGGCGGAAGCAAGGGGAAGAAGGGGGAGGGGTAGTTCAGGGCTCAGGGTTGGGGGGCTCGCCGGACCAACTTGATTGTTATGCAAACCTGCTCCTGGGTTCGCATGTGGCCTTTGGTGGACAGGTTGGCAGCTATCCTGCCATAGACGGCCATGTTTCTCCATCTAGTGCAGGGATCATGGATGTTGGGGGCATCCCCCCGAACCTGAATAAGGTTCATGATCTCCACCCTGGATCAGGAAGGTGCTAGCTTTCTCCAGGCCCTGGCAGGCTCCTGGGAGCTGGCAGACTGCTCCTGGGGAGCGGTGGAGGGCTGGCTGCCAGTGGCTCAGGGGCAATGACTGCTGGCTCTGGGCTGACAGGCTTGGAGCTGGCATAGGCACTGTGGCCACAGTTTACCCGTTTAAGTGCTCCGGAGATGGGGGGAGGGAGAGAAGTGTTCTTGGTGTGAAAGCAGGCTCTTTGCTGGCCAGGCCTCTCACGCGTATTGCCATCCAAGCAAAAGGTCAACTTCCCCTTGATGAAAACCCTTACACTATGTAACTTAAAGATCAGCGACGAACAGGAACCAAAACCAGACCCAAAAAGTTCATGTAAAGTTCATGCTGGTTGTGCTGACTGTGCCATGCCCGATAAGGCAGAAAAGGAAAAACAGGAAACCATCTTACCCCCTTACTCTTGTCACTTAACAGACAGGGTCTGCTAGCCTATCACAAAAAGTGCGCAAAAGCTTTCTCTATAAAACAGCTTCCCCTCCTGTATCAAATTGAGGAATCCCGAATAAACATTGGATGGCAGAATACGAGCCAGGCCCAAGGACTGATCACCCTAAGGCCACCTCCCGCTCAGCAAACCAGAGTTCCTGTAGAGCGTAACGTATACCGACTATGCTGTTGTTGCTGTTGTACTTTGTGTTTTTTCTAAGTGTGAGTATTGCTATCTAAACTTAGTTAAAAGTTTTGTTAAGTAGTATTGTTAAGAGTTTTAGATAAGTAATTAGACTTATGAGTAAGATTAATGTAAACATAACTGTTGATAATCCCTGGTCCCTTATTGACAACTATTGGGACTTAGAAAAAGCTCAGGGAATTTTCATTTATTGTATTGCACTTTACTTATTGCTCCTACTAATAGTTATTTGGCGGCCACGCATGTAAGAGACTAATAAAGAAAAACTATAATTGGAAGTATTCTAATAAAAGTTTAAAAGATATTTAGTAATAGTTTGCCTGTTTCTGTGCCTCCCTGGGACTAGCCACATTTCCGAACCTTTTACTTTTAACCACACTTGGTTGAGTCCACAGTGGCCACCAGGGCACCCTGGGAAGGCTGGAGGCCCCCTATTTTGAAATAAGTGTCTACACAGCACTTATTTCGAAATAGCTATTTCAAATTTGGCATTATTCCTCGTAGAATGATGTTTACCAAATTTGAAATAAGCACTCCGCTATTTCAAATTTATTTCGAAATAGCGGTTTGGCTGTGTAGACGCTAGGAAAGTTATTTTGAAATAAGGGCTGTTATTTCGAAATAACATTGCTGTGTAGACATACCCTATGTTATTCTGAACAGCTGGTTTATGCCCTTTCATTTGGGTTGAAACTGCTTCAATCTCCCATTCTGAACAATGTCCATTTAGCCTTTGGATGCATCTGCACAGAAGTTTGTAGGCATTGCATTGAAGTAATTCTACTAAGAATAAGGCCTGTTCCACTTTTGTTGTTTTACAAAGATCTTAATATATCCACAGTTTTTCTCCTGCTCAAATTCCTCAACTATCTTTTATGTCTCATTTAGCCTTTTTAAACACACTTGAAAGTCCATAAATCTCTTCTGGCACATAGCTTTCTGTGCTGTTGTACCTGGTCTTTGTTGTTCCAACCAATGGTGATATCATCCTGATGACAGTGTGTTGAATGCTCCACATATATATTGACCTTGGAATGCTGGGGAAAAGGGATGGCAAAAGGATGGGAAATCTCCACTGAAAGGAAGAGTTCAAACAGGTTAAGTTCAGATTACAGCACTGGTTTTCTGTTACTTTGAAAAGGTACATGGAAGAACGCCGTTTTCTCTTCAGATAATTGTGCAGTGTGTTGACTTCAGCATCGAGGGCCATATGGTCTTTTAAAAAAGGTCTGAGGTGGGAGAGGGCCACTGCCCCAGAGAGAACACCACAGGTAATGTGCACAATGACCAGAGGGTTGCTGGCCTGCCCTGGTGGAATGTAATTTACTACAAGTTCGTTCTGAGGAAGGTCATATGAAATAAACAAGTTGCTTTCCAGTCTAATCCCAAATGATGGAAACAAAGGACTCAGTCTTGAAGACTTACTACTTGAAGACATTGACAACTTTGCCTGAGCAAGATCTATAGGATTGGTCTGAAAATATTTGAACCTATCTGGCATTAAAATATTTAGATAACCAGCTTTTGTGTCATTCTCTTTTAAGTTTCCTTTATTTTTAGCTATCAAGGCTTTGTAGAAAGTTGAGTAACCTACCCTTAATGTCATGAGCTCCAGATAACTTTGGGAAGAATCCATTGTAAGTGGCTGTTACTTTTCCCTCCTTGCCGTCCCACAGTACAATGTGTCTCAACAAATGAGTTCTGTTATTTGTCTGGTATACTGTTATGAAGACAAGCTGCCTTGGAAGGATTTTTAACTGTAATTAGAGGGGGAGAGAAGACTCCATTAAAACTCAGGGTTTAGGAGACAGAAAAATCTAAAATGTGTGATTTTGGGTTAAATTCACTAGGGCCAGTGGTCATCTATTACATAAAAATGTATTACATAATACATGTATGTAATAACTGTATGGTGTCTGGAACAATGGAATGTGGATCCTTCACTAAGGCTTTTAAAACATAAAAAACAGCAAATAGTCTAGCAGCACCTTAAAGACTAACAAAACATGTAGATGGTATCATGAGCTTTTGTTGGCACAACCCATTTCTTCAGATGAATGGAGTTATTAAAGGTCCAGTTTTTAAGTAAATAGGAGTTGGAGGGGAAGAGAAGGAAAAAAAGGGAAAGAAATGGTCTATTAGAGTCTGCATGTTACATGAAGCTGATAGAAAAGTTGCACATTCATCTGAAGAAGAGGGTTGCACCCACAAAAGCTCATGATACCAACCACATGTTCAGTTAGTCTTTAAGGTGCTACTAGACTATTTGCTGTTTTAAAAGTTTTTCTAGTTACAGACTAACTCAGCGACCACTTTGAAGCTTTTAAAGCTTTTAAGTTAGTACCATTATATAAATGACAATGAATGTCTGCAGTCAGACATGCTTCTTTCTCTACTGTAACCAAACATATGCAGTGAAACATACTGTGCCCTCTTTGCAACATACGTTTTCAAACACATTTCTTACTCCACCATCTCTATTTGACTACACATATAGCAGTACTCTGGTGCACTCACAGTATCACCATTTAAAAATTTCCAGCATTTGTGCAAGCAGTTACTGTGAACAGGGGTGTAAGAAGTTTCCAGTTTTCATCTGTACGTGGACTAGAAAGCATGTTTAGTAACTGTGCAGCAAGAGTTGGCCAATGTTCAATTTGAAATATTTTAGAATATTTTTTTATTTTTTCTATAGCATATTTTGTATACGCTGATCACTGGCTTATATGCATACACAGAGAAACCAAACCAAACCAATCAGTGGTTACATTGTTAGACATAGCCTGGTCCTGCTGCTGATATAGCAAAGCTCCTTATGGAGTTAGTCTTGAGCTTATACACAAAATGACGGTGGGCATTTAGCTGCTGATACTAACCTGGGGCATTGTGTGCATCATTTCAATGACTTTTCTGTATTTGGTCTCAGTGAAAGTTAACTTAGTTGCAACATGGAAATCCTTTTTTTCAATCCCGATAGAAAGTCTGCCTTCTGCTTCATTCATGGAGTAATTTACCTGCAGGAATTTCAGTTAAAGGAAGAGAGAAACCTGACCCTAGTCTCTTGTATCTGTGGCAGAGTGGACAAATGGCCCTGGTATTTTTTCCCTCCCATTTTGCTTTTGTTTTTCACACCCAGTGCTAGTAGCCAGTTTCCTTACTGATTGTTATGTTTTATAATAACCAAAAATTATAAATACAACTTTGGGATTCAAACACAATTATTTATAATACAAATTTCTACCATTGCTTTATCCTTTGCTTAGTAAGTGGTATCTAGTGATATAAATGGATCCCTCCTATTATGTTAGGAATGCCAACAATTACTGTTTTGGAACATCTCCAGCATCTTGGAAATGTTCAGTACTAATAAATAATAACTAAACTGAAGTTAGTGTTAGAAATCCTGCTGTTGGAATCTTGAAAACGTTAGAGGGGGAAAGCAAAGATGTGGAAGGTGGATAACCTGTAGATAATTTACCTTTGAGGAAATTTCAGTTGAACCAGGGAGGTATTGAAGAAGGAAGGGGACATTCTGTAGGACCTTTATATTCAGTTCTTCACTAGAAGAAAGAAGTGCATAGTTTGTTCACAAATATTTCTACATTTACCAATAAGTCACTGGAACACAACACTCAAAAGGGTACTAACTCAGTGCTGGAATAAATGGGTGCAATGGCACGGGCTGCTGAATCAACTAAAGTTTTGTGAATTATGAATTGTTCTTAATAGATTTGTTCAAGCCAAAAGAAACTGAACAACGAAATTTGACCTCTATGGAAGATATGCATGTGTATTCCAAAGAAGTATATGGCCCAATGTATAAGCATATGAATTACTTGGAATGTTTCACATGTGCATCACTTATTTAATACGAGATTTGTACTAGGGAATATAAGCTATTAATGCATTCAGTTATTCAGTTATTGTTTCCAGATGAAAACTTGCTATTGTCAGAAATTCTAGCTAAAGGTGAATGAATTCTTTCTTGGTGCAAAAGTCCCTGCTGGGATATACTGAAATACATGAGTAGTATTCCAGAGCTTCAAGGGCCAAAATAATACATTTCTTTGACCCCTTAAAAAGCTCAGAAGTTTGTGTTTTAGTCTTCCCCAGACCTTTCTATTATGATATTTACTATCTAAGGGTATGTCTACACTACCCCGCTAGTCCGAACTAGCGGGGTAATGTAGGCATACCACACTTGCAAATGAAGCCCGGGATTTAAATTTCCCGGGCTTCATTTGCATAAGCGGGGCGTCGCCATTTTTAAAACCCCGCTCATTCGAACCCCGTGCAGCGTGGCTACACGGGGCACGAACTAGGTAGTTCGAACTAGGCTTCCTAGTTCGACCTACCGTTACTCCTCATTCCACGAGGAGTAATGGTAGTTCGAACTAGGAAACCTAGTTCGAACTACCTAGTTTGTGCCCCGCGAAGCCGCGCTGCACGGGGTTCGAACCAGCGGGGTTTTAAAAATGGCAGCACCCCACTTATGCAAATGAAAGCCCGGGCTTAGGGTATGTCTACACTACCCTCCTAGTTCGAACTAGGAGGGTAGTGTAGACATACCCTAATTCTTTTGAAGTGAATCATTTTTATTACACTTTCTTAGAACAGCCTTGTAAACTTTTAGAAGAATGACACAAAGAATTCTGGAAATAAATATCGTAAGTACCAGAAGTGCTATACATCAGAATGCTCCCAAATTAGAAAAAGAAGAAAGTCTTCATTGTTTTTTACTGAGATTTAATAGTACTGAAGTGACTTTAAAGGGAGTTAAAACACAAGGGCCATGTACTTCGATTCTTTTACAATGGTAATGCTCCATGGAAATACTGTCTTTTATCTGTGTGGGGAAGTAGTGAAATGGACATTTCTTGCAGAGGGTTGGGCATATCTGCAGAATAAACGATGAGCGAAAAGTTAAGACCCTGGTATTCGACATAATGGATGGTCCGAATAGGAGAGGCAGACCCCACAGAGAATGGGTAGATGATATAGTAGATTGGTGTGGAGCTAGTCTACAGAAATTAAGCCACTCTGCACTGGACAGGGAAAGATGGAAGGAAATATTGAGGGAGGCATCGGACACCAATGGGCAGTGAGCTCATGGTTGCTGTTGTTGATGATGATTTTACTCTTCATGCCACAGTTTCTATATAGGAATGTGAAAGGAGTTGATAAATAGTTCAGAGGCTAGCACAAAATATCCATCCACTTTCCCAAACCCCTGTGTTTGGAGCAGGCCAGGGGAACATCACCAGCTATTAGGGACAGATACCACTATTCAGCCCTGCATACATTTCCTGGAGCTAACGGTCTGTTTATGAGGGCTATGTGTTTTATTTAAGATTTTATTATATACTTCATTAGTATTTGGGCCATTTAAGAAGGTCTTAACTGTGTTTCTGTGATCTCGCCAGCATAATTAAATCTTTACAATTACCAAAATCGCTCTCTCACCTTTGCTGTTTGTTTTTCACATGGATAGAGAGTGAGAGGCTTGTATTGAGCTTATAGGTCAACTTCAGAGAGCCTTCAATTTCATTTTCAGTCAGGCCTTCAAGGAATGCTACCTGGGAAGTAAGCAGAAAAATATCAAACAGAATGAATAAAGGGCAACCTCTCACTATAAGGCTCTCTGATATAAAGCAAGTCTATTGTGTTGGAGCTGCTAACTCATGCAAACCCAAATCAAAGTACGTCCTTAGACAACACACAGTAACATGTGCAGGGTCTGTTAGCGCTTCACAATAAGTCATATGGGTTGTGTGCCCCTTGCAATGTTTCTCGGAGTTTCCCTAGTCATGATGTTGCTTTAACAGATCTTAACATGTTGGGCAAAGAAATAAAGAGCTGACCAGTGGATGACAATTCTGCTTCATGGAAGCTTTCAAGTTTTCAACATTTGTTTTCATTCTGTGAACAAGCCTTCTGACTGGCTGAATGAAAGAGGGAATGTGCAAGACTCGGTCAAGCTCACTTGATGTAGCTGGCTGGTCAGAGCACAGGGTTGCGGAGATGGGGAGCCCATGTTCAAATTGCTGCTGCCTGATTCAGAGCAAACTTTTTCATCCTAAATCAAGCAGAGTGAAGACATGAACCTGCATCTCCCACAAAAGGTTTGTGGAAACTGACAGAGCTTTGCAGAATAGCTCAGCTTTAATAAAGCTGAATATTTGTTGAAGCAGCTCTATAGCTCACACAATTTAATAGCTGTTGATTTTAAAACTGAGCTATAGTGGGGAGCAGCAGAAGACTTAAGCCATATTAAATGGAATTTCCTGCTTTAGCAGTTATAAGTCTGACTTACATTTCTGTGAGTAGGTTGTTTCGGAAGTAGACTCCCTCTTTTTTCACTTTGATCCCTTTATCATAGTTCATCATACTTAGACAATGCAGGCTCAACTGCACTGCATTAATATTGTATCCATGAGCATCAGTTAACAGAAATGTAACCATAAGATTTGAATGCTTGTAGGCTTATTGGGAGGTAGCTCATTTAGAGCTTGACCCTACAAGCTGCTGAATTCCTCTTCACGGTCAGAATGTTTTGCGTACACTGTGTCAGCGGTCAGCATTAGCTGGAGTGTTTAGTAATTCAGAGTTATACTCTTGCTTCATACTGAATTATTAGTACTGCTTCTATGTATGTTAAGGTAAAGGAGACATTCCAGTGTAGGACACTGAAATGTGCTGTAGTCATTACATTTGGTCAAACATCCATACTAACAGCCTGCAAATGACTTAAACCAATGTGAAGAAATTCTAGACTGGCCAGTTTTTCCGGAAAATCAGCCGCTTTTCCGGAAAAACTTGCCAGCTGTCTACACTGGCCGCTTGAATTTCCGCAAAAGAACTGACGATCTCATGTAAGATTGTCAGTGTTCTTGCAGAAATACTATGCTGCTCCCGTTCGGGCCAGTGTAGACAGCTCAGATTTGTTTTTCGCAAAAAAGCCCTGATTGTGAAAATGGCGATCGGGGCTTTTTTGCGGAAAAGTGCGTCTAGATTGGCACAGACGCTTTTCCGCAAAAGTGCTTTTGCAGAAAAGCATCCGTGCCAATCTAGACGCTCTGTTCCAGAAATGCTTTTAACGGAAAACTTTTCCATTAAAAGCATTTCCGGAAAATCATGCCAGTCTAGACATAGCCATTGTGTGTAGAAGCAAAGTCTTTCTGGTTTGCTAAGAATCTGGCCACATTAGAAAAATGTGATTCCCATGACTTATTTTAAATCTGCTCCTTTCTGAAGTATATGTTTGGACATGTAAGAACTACCTACTGGATTTATTTGAAAGTGGACTGTTAGCTCTGCATGGTATTTACACTGAGCCAAAACCTGCTCTCACCATTGTAAATCTGAAGAACTTCCACATAAGTTATGGATCCATGCCAGTGTAACCAAAATTAGAATTATTATCCATGGTAACGCAATACACTCCTCTAATCCAAGCACACAAAGCTATCTAGCTAAGTTTTATTACCTTAATCATGAAGGGAAGTCCCAAATCCTTGAGGGAGGTTATTGAATGTTTTACCTCTGCCATCAGTTCAAACATACCATATAGTTCAAAGTCAGCAACAACACCCATATTCAAAGTTATATATTTGTCATCGTATCGAATTTCAAGAGTTGTCCTGGCTTTTTTTTCTAAAAGCAATGAACACATTATTAAAGATGCCATTTTAATGGGCTCCATACCAGTCAGTGCAGGTTTTTACAAAAACAAAAGTGCCAGTGAACACACGCCTTTGGAATAAAGCAATAAAACCCCAGCCACTCTAAAATGACATGGTCTGTGGTCTTGGGTTTGCTGAACCCAAACTCTGGCTTCTTTAACTGCATTTGCACATATTAAGCACTTAAGATTTTGGTAGAAATGTAGCCGTATTAGTCTGGTGTAGCTGAAACAAAATACAGGACTATGTAGCACTTTAAAGACTAACAAGATGGTTTATTAGATGATGAGCTTTCGTGGGCCAGACCCACTTCCTCAGATCAAATAGTGGATCTGTTCATTTTTTTTAATTGTATCCTTTGGTATATATGGTTGTGACTATTTTCTTCCACTATTTGATCTGAGGAAGTGGGTCTGGCCCACGAAAGCTCATCATCTAATAAACCATTTTGTTAGTTTTTAAAGTGCTACATAGTCCTGTATTTTGTTTAAGATTTTGGGTAACTTAAAAATGCAAGTTGTCACACAGGAGTCAGTGTGCTTTGCGAAATCAGGGCTTTATTGTCTGTCAATACACATGATTTTCATAGCATCCAGCAGACTGATATAGTTTCCTTTAGCAAATAAGACTTGTTTTGAGGTCAGATGCAAACAGAGATTAGCATAATTTTTCAAATTAATTTTTTTGTTCTTTCTTTCATTTCCATTTTTTCAGTAACAAAATGTAAAAAGGACATAAAAGGAGGGAAAAACAGGAGGGAAAAAGGGGGAACCTGAAAGCCAGAAAAGGTTTAGAAAAGCAAGCAAAAATATAGAAAGGCATATGTGAGGCTTGTGAGCCACTCTCATTAGTGGCTGGCTCAAGTGAGAAAGAGCACCTAAAAACAGCTAACCTTTTGATGTAAGTAGTAAGGGCTTTAAGCAGTTGATACTGAGAGCATTGGCTTGGTCTGCTGACCTCCATGACACTTTTGATTAGGAGACTGTTGTTTCCTTACATCATACAGAGTTTACTTAAAGGTGACTGTTCTGCCATTTGAACACAGAAGACATTTGTTGCAATGGGAGAGAGGAATGCAGATGGATGTGCTGTGCTCTGTGATGGCCTGCAGATCCACAGGCCACGCCATGTGGTGGGGGTAAGATTTATGCTTGCTGTAGAGAAGACTACTATAGTCCTTGACACAGAACTGCTGGTCAGTTCTCCTAGGCTAAGCGAAGTGGGACCAACAGATTCACCAAACCATTGACATTTGTTGCAATGGGAGAGAGGAATGCAGATGGATGTGCTGTGCTCTGTGATGGCCTGCAGATCCACAGGCCACGCCATGTGGTGGGGGTAAGATTTATGCTTGCTGTAGAGAAGACTACTATAGTCCTTGACACAGAACTGCTGGTCAGTTCTCCTAGGCTAAGCGAAGTGGGACCAACAGATTCACCAAACCATTGGGAGGGGGGGGGGGGGGGGGGGGGGTGGGAGAGATGGCTCTGCACCCCTGGAAGGGCAGGGCTGGAGCTAGCCTCCCTCAGGCAGCCCCACTGCTGCCCAGCGCACATCGCACATCACCCAGGCAGCCTGTAGCACTGCCTGGTGCATGCTGCATTGGGCTCCAGCAGCAATTTGAAGGGCCTGGGACTCCGGCCACCACCGTTGCCATTGTTACAGTGGCAGCAGCCTGGAGCCTTGGGCCCTCTGTGGTTGGGCCGGGCCAAGCCTGCTTACATGCTCTTGGTTCAGAGACCAGGTTGGGCGTAGGGGGTACAGTTTGTGCCACCTCACCCCCAGGTTTTTCTGCTCAAAGTTCCATATGCCACAAAGCTGAGGACCATGGGCCAACCACTTCAATGCAATGGTATGTGCACGCAGAGCTGCAACGCCACTCCAATTGGCCTGAGGGGCCGCTAGGCCAAATGGGGTCAGCAACCCCCCCACAAGGAAATCTGCTCCTGTGCAGCAGAGTCTGCCAAGAATCTGACTCTTGGATGGCTACCAGCATGTGTTGTGTGGGTGAGAGGGGAGACTCCCTGGCCCTCCCTTCCCGCAGGAAAAGGTGAGCAGGAACCAGGATCTGTGTCAATGACCCTTTCCTTTTATCTAAGAATTGTGGGACAAATGTTAATGATGGTGTGTGACCTGAATGAGTGGGCTGTGTGCCCACGTGGGCTTGAGAGATGGAACTCCCTTCCTCTCCCCAACTGCCTACTCTCTGTGGCCAGGAGTGCAGCAATGTATGCTCCAACCGAGCCCCTGCCCTCCCTATTGACAAACTCACTCTGCACTGCAAATCCCTTTGGGTCTGTGTTCTGCTACATGGTATTTGGTTTCTGTGCACTGCATGGGGTCGCTCAGTCCTACCATTCCCCTACATACAGAAGAACTCCCTTGGTTCCCAGTGGTCCGGGATCTGCTACTAAACCTCAAATGGAAATCTCATCACTGCCAGCTGCTCTGCATTTTGGGAATGAAAGGAGAATTTCATGCTGCAAGCGTTGTTTGATAGGTCTTTGAGTTTTCTTTGTTTTTTGTATGCTACAGATGGTGGTGGACAACCCATTAATCAGATTGATCATTAATGCTTGCCTTTTATCAATGCTTGCCTTTTATCTCCGCTTTTATTATCTATTATATATTTGAGAGAGATTTAACAAACAACAAATAGTCTAGTAGCACTTTAAAGACTAAAAAAACATGTAGATGGTATCATGAGCTTTCATGGGCATAACCCACTTCTTCAGATGACTGCAGGTTGTGCCCATGAAAGCTCATGATACCATCGACACGTTTTGTTAGTCTTTAAAGTGCTACTAGACTATTTGTTGTTTGTTAAGACTAACGCAGTGACCCCTCTGAGGATTTTTGTTTGTCTGTCTCTTTGTTCAAGAACTCCTAAGCTGTAAGAGTTCAGACAACCAAATTTGGTATGCAGCTTCCTCTTATCATAACTGAAAGCAAGATCAGGGTTTGGTTGTGCCAGGAAAATGGGATGTGTCTGGAATGAGATGGCTTCTCATTAAGCCATATAGAAAAGAGACAGAATCATCAGGCAGGTGAAAGGCGCTCTGTCCAAGGCAGCTCCAGCCCCGACTCTCCCACTTCCCAGGCACCCTTTAGGAAGGTCACAGGGGCTGAAGCTTCCCCCCAATTTGTACCAGAACATTGCTGGCTATTTCCCATTGTCAGGCAGTGAGGGGAAAGTGCACATTTTGCTGAATTCCTCACTCTGGCTGGGTAGTACGAGGGTGCAGATAAACCTGGATTTGTTCGGGGGACATACACCTCTCCCTTGCTGTGCCAATGGGGACTGCAGTGGCCATGGAGCGGTGCTTCTCACCCAGTCCCAAGCTGATGCAGTGAGAAAGGACTGGGGTAGTCCTTGCTGCCTGATGCAGCCTGCATACCGAACCTGCCCACCCCAGCCACACCCCCAAGCAATCATTTAAATGAAGCACATACATTTTCATTTTATTTTCCAAAACAAAAAATAATTGATGTAAGGACGTGGGCAATGCTTAGGAAATCTTCTAGTTGTTACATAAAGGAAACATATTTGATGGAGACACATTTGCAGTAGTTTGGCTACTTAAAAACAAACAAACCTGGAAACTCATCTTTCTCAGCATGAATAAACCCCAAAACAGCTGAATTGTTTTCAGTAGAAATAGCTAAATAATCCTGTAAAAGCTGGCTGGAAGATGAAGACAAAATTGTACATGATGCAATTTGTAGTACAGCAAATTCCCTTTTGGGGTTAAGGAGCAGGGCTCTGGTGATTGAGTCCAATGCCACCACAGCCAAAGATTCTCTGTGTGACCTGGGGCAAGTAATTTTTTCTCTCTGTGCCTCATTCCCCCATTTATAGCACAGCAATAATGTTGACCTTTCTCCCCCAGTCTTGCCTACTTCAGTTGTGAGCTCTTGGTATAAGAACTGGTGTTTTTCACTATGTTTGTCCAACATCCAAATCAATAGGGCCCTGACCCGAGCTGGAATACAAAAAATAATAGATCGAACCCATCTGAGAACACACACATTTAAGTGCTACCATTTGTATTGGCAAAAGGAAGTACTGTGCCCTTTTTGACATTTCAGCAGCAAACAGCAATTCAATTTACAAATAATTATGCAAACAGTAATAACGTATACAAAACCCTGTTACATAAAACAGCTACAACCCTTCCCCCCCCCAGCATCCTACCTAGTTTCTGTAACACGAGAGTCAGATTGGTCGCCTTAGGGTAGCCAAACGTCAGTAGAGCCTCACTGTTATGTAAACATTGGCAGAAAAATTCCATTTGCTGGCCAACGTAACGAGAGTTAACTGTGTATGTGACTGATGTTTGTCCAGCCATAATTTGCATATGTCTCTCTTGAGAGGAATTTAATCTTTGAAGGGACACAGCCATCTGATAAAAGACATGTAGATGTACTGAGAACAGACATTCAAAGATAATATCCTGGCCTGTTTCTTAGGAGGACAGTAAAAGGAAAAGTTACTTTTATCTATAACGGTTACTGAAATCTACTCCTAAATAGCACAGAGTTTTAACCCATTCATTCATTATCTATAAACATTTCTAGTATCAAATATACCCAACTAAACAAACTGCAATTTAACGTAAGTGTAATCAGTTTGATGTCACAAAGGGTATGTCTACACTACCCTCCTAGTTCGAACTAGGAGGGTAATGGATGCATACTGCACTTGCTAATGAAGCCCGGGAGCCGCCATTTTTAAATCCCCGCTGCTTCGAGCCCCGTGTAGCCGCGCTGCACGGGGTTCGAAGCAGCGGGGATTTAAAAATGGCGGCTCCCGGGCTTCATTAGCATAAGCGGGGAGCCGCCATTTTTAAATCCCCGCTGCTTCGAGCCCCGTGTAGCCGCGCTGCACGGGGTTCGAAGCAGCGGGGATTTAAAAATGGCGGCTCCCGGGCTTCATTAGCATAAGCGGGGAGCCGCCATTTTTAAATCCCCGCTGCTTCGAGCCCCGTGTAGCCGCGCTGCACGGGGTTCGAAGCAGCGGGGATTTAAAAATGGCGGCTCCCGGGCTTCATTAGCAAGTGCGGTATGCATACATTACCCTCCTAGTTCGAACTAGGAGGGTAGTGTAGACATACCCATATTGCTCAAGTTACCTTATCCCATAAAAGGATGAAAATATCTCAAGATTATATAATAATCATCACAAATATACGGTTTAGAAGACAGGAGGATTTTACTCTTAATTCCATGAGAGATAGGATGACCAGACACCCTGTTTTCAAAGGGACAGTCCCCTATTTAAGCAGGGGAAATCTGTCCTATATTTTCTGTCTTCCCACATCAGTACTGATGGATCCTGCTGCTGGTCAGATCCTTGCTCACCAGTTGCCTGTCCATTAGCAACGAGTGTGGTGGATGGGAGTGGGGCAGTGACCAGTGGAGCTGCAAAGCTGGTGGCAGGGTAAAGATGCAGTGTGTAGGGACAGCCATTCTCCCTGCTGGTATGTCACTACGGCCCTTGCTGTGTGCTGGCTCATGGCCAGCAGAATCTTCACTCCGTCCTGTTTCTGAATGGCACTTGCTGTACTGTGAGCTGCATGGGCAGGTGAGTGCAGATAGGTTCCAGGTGGTGTCTGGTTATGTGGTACTCTGGTGCCCACCCACTGGACTCTTATGTGCTCCCTCTTGCTGTTCTCTCCCTGCCTTGCCTGCTCATCTCACCTCCCAGCTCCCCTGCTCCTCCATATCCTCCTTGTGGGGCACATCCTTCCCCTAGTACTGTGCAGAGAACAAGCTCAACTCACTATCAGCCAGGCCAGCGGCAGATGATGATTTTGCAGGGCCCACCGCAGCACAATTTCGCGGGGCCCCCCCTTTGACATGGCGCATACGCGGGGCTTCTTGAAGAGCGGGGCCTGGGGCGGCCGTCCCACTCTCCCTGCCCTATAGCTATCCCTGCAGCAGGCTACTTCCTTCCCCACTGACTGTGGCTGAGCCAGTGCCCCAGGATATCCCACAAGTCTCTGGCTGGGCCTGGCTAGAATGAGCCAAGCCCTGGATGTGCCATAGCCCCGCTCAGTGCTGTCATGGGGAAGCCTGTCCTCTCCTCAACTAAGCTCTGCAGTGTTGGGGGGGAAGTGATTTCCCCAAAGCTGCAGGCTCCCCCACAGCCCCCCCCCCCCCCCCCCCC